ACTTGGTGCTGCGTGAACAACTAGGTGAAATATGAGTTTAAAGTTTGTCTGCGGGTTTTTTCCCATGCAAGGCAGGAAAAAAACCCTCTGAGACCTTGGCTCTGACAATGCTGAAGGCTTTTTTTTTTTCATGGGGAAGGCTGTTTTCATTGTTCAGACCAAACCTTCCGTGTGGAGAGAACATGTACAAATAAGGGCTAGATGTGTACTTGGAGCTTGGCTTCTGGCCTGGGTGTGTTGGCGACTTGGCCTGAACTACAAGAGATGTTTTGACACCACAAATAAGGAATTAGGCAGTGTGGTGATCCGGAGAGAGGATGAGCGGGTCTGCTTTTACAGTGCTTTCAAGATGCTGCTTTGAAGATTTCCAGAGTGCTGCAGCTTAACATCACAAAGAAAATCTTAAAATCTACCTTCAGAGAGCTGGTGATTTTACCTTCTAAAAAAATTACATAATCGGTCAAACAATATTCACCCTAACCTTAAATTTAAAATAACTTAAGAAAATCTTGAACTCTACAGATAGTATTTGGTGGTTTATGCATGATTAAGTGTATTCTTTTAACAACAACAAAAACTATGCTATTGCCAGTTTCTCTACTTTCATAAAGTAAAGCTCAGTGTGGTTTTATAAATTTCAGTTTCTGGCAATCCATTATTTTATATTTCTATTTTAAACTTATTTTTGTCTGACTCAAGTACCTTTCATTCCTTTCCCAATTTCTTTCTAAGTTCCTTACATATCTGTTGCTGCACCTAAGTGCAATTCAGTATGGACCAGCAAGAGTACCTTCCAAAAAGAGTAATTTATTGAAGGTGCATTTTTATAGAAGCAAGTGTAAGGAACCAAAACTAATGAGTACCAAAAAGTAACTGGTTAATTTTGTTGTATTCAGTCTGTCTTTTACCTCATAGTTATAATTGTGAAAGGTTTTTTAGCCTGCAAGAATTAAAAAATAAATACAGAGTTGGCCTCGTAGATACTCAGTCCATATCTACCACAGAACAAACATGCTTTTGAAAAGAGAAAGCAGCTTCTCTGGCATCTATTTTAACTAAGGGAAGTTCTAAGGATTGAAAAGTCAACTTCTGCACTAGAAATATTATCACTTAAATACTAATTGATACTGTGTCTTTCCAGAAAGCCTTTTTACAGTATCCTAAGAGACCTATAGCTGAAACCCTTTTTATTTTCTATTTTCCCTATTAAAAGTAGGTTCAACACCGGAAATTAATGCATTCAAGTACTTTAAGCAAGAAATCATGGAAGTTAATTCACTATAATAATACTATAAGAAATAAACATCTTTATAACATGAAGGGAATATAGATGAAAATAAAATTGGTCTGTACTCTATAAAATTGTGGGTAAACATAGTTAAGCATTGGAAAGAGTGGATTCCAGCCTCATTTGGGATTCATCCAACCAACTCCTCACACTTTACCAGCTGTCCTTTATAAGATATCACTGATGCTCCAGTGGGCCTCGAAGACTCCGATTGCATGGAAAATTATACAACTGCCATCACAGCTCTGCCCAAGGGGGAATTCAACATTGTTTTGCAGAGACAGAGCTACATTCTGCTTATTTGTTGTACTCCTGGAATAATGAAAGTGAAACTAATCTGAATATAAATATTTTTAAAGGAAATTCAAGCCGACACATATTTGTATTTTTTCATATAAATTACCTCCATAGACTGTGAGGAGGTTCTTTCTATGAGCACTTAAATGGGAGCTTTTCATTCTAATATAATCACTTTAATGCAGGAAATCCCTTAGGCATAACTGAGAGCTGGGATACACACTGCATCTATAGCTGGAGAAGCAATCAAAGAAAATTTAAAGAAGAGTCTGAAGACTTGTAATCCATAATAATATTATTAATTCATTCAGCATGCAAATGTTATTCTGCTCAATATTCAGCAGACTTCTACAGCTCCGCACTAAATTAACACAGGACTTCAGAAAGCACTGGTAAGTGTAGCTTCACAACAGTGTAAATAACATTTGAGTTACACGTATGTCTTACCTTGAGAAGTTCAGAGCCTTTAAAAGAGGAGTTTCTAAAGGCACTTTGAGTGTAAGTGATTGATTTTACCGATCCATAGGTGCTACATCAAATATTAACATGAGAAATTAATTGCTGAGTAAACTCTGGGCTCATTACTACTTATTTTCTAAATACTGAGTAAACCAGTAAATTCAGATTAGGCCACATTTTACCAAATTATAACGTGCCTGCTGCCAGGAAACATTTTTCCCCTGTTCCAATAACTGCTTCAACCATATCCCACAAAATTACAATGACTTTGGAAGATAAATTCTGAAAGAATTTACAAGCCTGGGAAGAACCAAGTTCTAGGGTCCTTTTTGCTGTTTCATTCCTATTCACTCAGGACTCTTGCTCAGCAAAAGTCCACCTGGTTCCTTGAAAGAAGTGTCCTGCAGTAATGCTTATTCCATTACTCCCCATAAAACTCTGTAAGAGGTACAACACACCAAAGTATGAAAAAAAAAGGAAGTTCAGTTAACTGTGCTCCACCAAAAAAGGTGTTGGTTGGAAAAGTGATGTTCAGGTATAGCAGCAAATTGTGGAGGTTTTGCTGCGAATACCAAAAGATAAAACCATGTATGTCAATAATTTATTTGCAAATCATTTCTGCTTTATATTAAATGTCCATTTCCATATAAGAAATGGTTATGTTTCTTTCCTCTAAGAATAGTTACATCTTCAAGAATATTCTCTTCGCTGTATTTTAACTTTCTCCACAGAGCTTGGAAACAAGAAAAATAATGGGTGGGGACTTAGAACTAAACATATGCCTGTATTTGTCATAAGCCTTCAAAGTTTTTCTGCTATGGATACTTTCTCTCAAGTGAAAATTTCCAAGTTTGACAAGACATATTTCAGGCAGATTCTCTCCAATTTTTCCAAGCCAAACAAGTAAAAGTAAGATGGGAACTTAGCGTGGGAATCCCTATTATGCGATCTAATTTAAAATTAAAACCCAGAGTAGAGTCTCCACGATTCTAAGGCTATGCTGATTGCCACTTGAAGCTGGAAACGTTTTTCCCTAATGCACAAGTGATGAAGTGCACGTAATGCTTAGAGGAAAGTTACCTTATCTGCAGTATCAGATATAGATTACTGCTGGAGTCAGCGTGCCACGCCGCTTGGATCCATATGCTCCCTTCCAATATGAGGAATTAAGTTTCCCTGATGTCATAACTTGAACAGATAATGCAATTAAAGTCTCCTTTGAAGTTCACATTGACCAGGTAACCAATAGAATGAGTTGGCAAAGCTTTAGTCGAGTCACCACAGTGAACTCGGCTCACCCAGGTTGAGACTCTGATGTTCTGCAAAGGCTGAAGGATACTGAAAATGCTCAGTCCCTGTGAGATATTTATAAACCAGTGTTTATTCTGTCCTGTAAATACAGAGATCCTGCACTTCTGTCTGGCACTCTCCAGGTGTGTCAGGAATATGTCAGAATTGCTGCATGTTCTCTGAGGAGTTGGTTCCCTTGTGTACAACAGCTCTGGAAGACTGAGGGACACCTGCAAATCCCAGACAAGTGACAGGGTCTCCTTTTCCTACCTCAGTGCTCCTCCTGGCAGCAATCTCCCTGCAAGAAAAGAGGGCCTGTCTGGTGGATCAGATATTTGGGCAAGACTAGAAAAAGGGAGAGATCCGTTACACAACGTTCCATTTGCCACTAGTTACTCTGGAATACAAGATTGCATGGGGCTGCTGAAGTGCTACTGAAGCTGGATGCTCGTTTTCATACAGAATCAGCTTGATAATCCTTTGCTGAAAAGGTGCAGTTCACAGCTTTGTAGGTTAAACAATAGTGAGGCTGTGTATGATCAAGTGTGAAGAATTTTCTTGCAGATGAGACATTGATAGCTGCTCCTCTGGGACCCTTCAACTGGTGTAATTTATAGTATCACACTACAATTGACATGTTTATGATTGTGCCAATAATTCAAGACTTCTTGAGGCATTTAAACAGGAGAGGTAACTAAATGATTAATTTTAGAAAGAAGAGAGTGGAACAAAGCCAAGACTTCTATCTTCTTGAAAAAGAAAAGAGCCTAAAATGAACATCTTGGCTACTTTACAAGACTAGAGAAATATTATAGACTGAAAGACTGTTTAATTTCCAAAAGTGTTACTATTCCTTGGAGATACAGTGATGAAAATAGAACTCTTAGCATGAAGTAGAATTTTACTTGCACTAAAACAGAAAAATTCATGATCAGGAAAGTTGCTTGAGGAGGGGAAACATCCCACCACTGTCAATGCTTTATGGGGACATATTTGGCACGAGCATTGAAAAAAAACAGACTAATAAATGGTGATCAGGTAGACAACTTCAGAAACACTTAGAAGAACAGATAATGAAAAGTTATGATTGGTATTATTAAACATGAGAAAGTAAGGAGTTTCATTATATATACAATAGAAGTCCAACTAATAAAAACATTGACACAATCAGACTGATAATTTAAGCAAAACTATCTACAGTAATAGTGAAGATTTGCTACCTCTATAAAAATATATATATATAATTCATAATGACCTACAAAGTAACATAAGGTGCATCTCAAAAGGTCATTTCATACTCTCAAGATGCCCAAACACCTAGAAATTCTCTTGAAGCAACTGCTTTGCACCTCCTTACCTCCAAGAGCATATATGTGAAAGTCTGCAATGCCATAAAACACGTGCTGGTGTTGTGTGTGCCTTCTAAGGAAGAATTAGTGCAAATGGCTCTTAGAACAAACAGCACTTCTTTTACTCTCCTGCCAGCTTCAGCTATAGCTAGGCTGTCCTGCCTTCTTTCTTCGAAGACTCCTGTTTTATTATTTTTGGGGAATAATGGCAGCACCATGAGAATTCTGTTCAGGTTTGAATCAAAACCTCTTCCTTTCACTACCTGGGGAGCGCTCATGCAAAGCTCCCCGATTCAAGTGAAGTGAAAAGTCCTTACCTTCTGTTGGTGACGTCTTCAGATGTCTGCAGAGCCCCTCTGTTTCCCCATATGTCTCTTTAATTTTTACTACTGCTTCTGTCCCTCGGAGTTCCATGAGGGAGCGCAGTTCTTGCAGTGTGCACCCAAACTCTCCCGCATGGTTGGCCTCGTTTCTTTGGTTCTTGGAATAAAAATCGCTATTTGTCATGTCACCCATTGTGGCTGGTTGTATTGCTCCACTCGTTGTAGTCGATTACAATCTTAAAACTGTTTTAAAAATTGAAGGAGAGGAATCTTGAATTCCGATTTAAGAAATTAAAAAGAATCCAGTGTGTGCCCGGCGAGCGACGTGGAGGATTTGGAGGATGCCTCTGGCGTGCAAGGTGTCCCTGACTGACTAGTGGTCTGCAGAATGGCTGCTTTCAAGGCTGCAGACCAGTTCCACTCCATTCACCATTTCCCATTATGTTGCACCCAAGCTGTGGAATCTACATGGTCATTTCTTCCTCGGGACCTTTGGGAACAAGCAGAAAGGACTCATTACAGGAGTGTGCGACAGCGCTTTGCAAAAGGTGATTTTTTCAAATTTATTCTGTCATGGCAGGTGGACTCGTCATTTCAGAGAGGCTGTGTGAGATGTCCTGTGAGGTGCTGCAGCACCGACAGCAAGGATAACACCAGCTCTGCCTTAGATAAAGCTCTCCACAGCCAAAGCACCAATAGCAGCGTCTCTCACTTTAATCAAGTCCCAAGAGCACCCGCTAAATGAGATGACTCATGAATATTAATAAGTAAGCGATTAGTCCGGCACGCAGGATACACCTCCAGTACGTGCTCTGCTTCATACAGCTACATCAGCCTGTCCTCTGACCAGAACAAAGCCTCTGATAAAGGCTCAGAGGTGACACAAATAGGTTAAACACAACTAGTTTTCCTAACGGGTTAAAGCAAAACTGTTTTTCAGCGCAAGGAGAGTGAGACTGGTGGAAAAAACTAGAGCCATCATTACAATTGCAGAATATATTTCAATACATTACATCTTGCAGCCTTGCCTTCTGTGCAAGGGAGCACAGTCCAGCAAAGAGAAAACACTGGGGTGGCTGGGTTTGAGCAGCCAGAGCTCCTCAGCCAGGCACCCCCTGGGTCCTGTCCCCAGCACACACAGACACACACAGGATGGGGTTGGGTTCTTTCTTTTTTCTTTTCTTCTCTTATTTTTCCTCCCCTTTTTATTTTCATTTTTTTCCCCCATGTGCAGTGTTGAACAAGTCCCATTTGGACCATCTGGGAGACAGCTGATTACTTGCTAAAACCAGCCTTTAAAACCTGTTTCCCCTTCCCATATTCTAATGAAGTTGGTTTTAAATACTGCTGAAACCAGCTATTATATTTGGCACGCAGAGTTTTAAAAGAGATTAAAGGTTTCTTTTTTTGCCTCAAGCGGGTTAGTGAGAGTGCACTGTCTAATCTATAGGTCTCAGAACAGTTTTCATAATAAAAAAGATCTTTCAAAGGGCACACCAGCAGCCTGATGACTGACCAACCTGTCACAGGCAAAGGGCATGTGTTGAACTTTCTAGGCACAGTAATACACAGTGGAAATGAGTACCCAGATAAAGCACATAAAGAGGATCCCGATGTGTTTGAAGTCCCAGTTTTATATTTGTACAACAATTTTAATCTCCCACCCACATACAGTTGACATAACACGTAGGCTCAGTATTTCCACTATCTAACTCTGTTGCATTGCTCTGCACATGACAAAAATCAGGCCCCCTGGATGCACCAATTCCTCTGCCCACGGTGGCACTGCCTGCTTTAGAGCTGCCTAACATACCTTGCTCAATTAGCCAAACCAAACCTCTACCAGCCCTCTCATCTACAGCTTTAAAACTCAACATTTCTTTGATTTTCGTGGAAAAAAAAAAAAAAAGAAAAAAGGGAAGTACCAGCTTTACTATGATATCATCACTATGATATTACAGAACACAGTTAAAATAGCAGCCAACTGCTACACCTTTCTTCTACACATCCTATTTATTGATACATATTCTAGTCTTAAGAACTTCTGCCACCTCACATTTCACATGTTGCTTTTCACGTTCACTAGGATTTCTGCCCAAAATGTGGCTTACAGTGAAGAGCAAAGAGAAACTAAAAGTAGTAATTAAAAAAGGTCTTTATTTGCCAAGCAATAGCCAAAGAGGAGATGTTGTACCCTGTCAACACTCTAAGCTCTCCATGCTGGGTAGTGCTCACAGCCTCGATTCATCCCTAGGTATGGCACGCAGAAAAGACTTGACTCACACTATTTATCTGTTTGTAAACAGGGTGGGTCAGTATTCTGAACAGAAATAACATCAGCCTGCAGCATTACTTTGAAAAAGTTGCAGGACATGGATGTCACAGATGCCCAGTCAAACAGAGTCCATCCCAAGGGGCATCGAACAGCCACGACCTCGGCTGGTGATGAGCTCCTCCTTCCTCCCAGCAGCATTTCAGACTCTTCCTGGGGTCAGCTGTGAGAAGCTGCTGCTGACAGTCACATCAAAATGCAGATTGAGGTTCGATTGGGAGGCATCGATAATAAAAACGAACAGCTGAAATGACAGGCTGCCTTTTACTTCCAGTGGCAAAAAAACAAAAATCTATTCCAAGATAAATTCACTTCAAGATTTTGAAAACTGGGCATCTCAAAAGCCATGATGCTAAGAAAAAAAAAAAAGACAAATAGCAAAAAAACCACACTATTCACCTAGCCCTAGCTAGTCTTGTGAGCTTTTTAAACATTCCCCTAATAAAATAAAATTATTCCTATACTGTTCCATAACACTGCAGAACAAAGGATAATTATCAGTATTTTCTGAGGAGACCCATCTACTGATTTAATTCATGATGCAAAGGGTACTAAACACAGCAAAGACTTTTTCTACATGATTTTTCTGTGGGATATGTCCACCCCCCTCAATCAAAGCACCTCTTTAGGCTCACTGTGCCATCACTACAAATTAATATATTTGCTTCTATTCTTAGAGATTCTTCGCCATTTGTCAGCCACAGCAAGACAGTGCTGTTGCTTTTTAGCATGAGTCATTTGCCTGCTTAATTTTTAATTTCACCTTCAATTAAATATTAATCAATAAACAACAAATATGAAGTTTACACTTCCTTCGGTGCTTTAAAAACAAATCCCTCAGAGTCTGTGCTGTTCATGAGTCACCCAACGCTTTGCCACCAAGGAAACAGCACCTCAGGTTTTTTTTGAAAGGCAGATGGTAAAACACAACAAGCACAGAGCGTGACTGACATTATTCACTGACAGTGCATCTCCCTAATCCCGTGGAACAAGATATGCAGCTTCCATCTGATCCCTGAATCTCCCTTAGGAAAAGCCCAGGCACCCTGCCAGGGCGTGTGCTGGGTTAGCAGGGCTGACACGCGACCACCTCACCCCTCCCACGCTGGGAATATTCCCCTGACAAAAGGAATGAGAACTCAACAAGCTGTGGCTGGCACACGGCAACATTCCCATCGCAGGGGCTTTGCCTCTCCCAAAATGCAGCCGGTTACCAGAAGTGGGGGAAACTTCCACGGGTCTCCCCCACGAGAAATCTGCAAGTACCGCGCGAGGGTTTCGGTGGGGTTTTTCTGCTTGGTGTTTTTCGGGGGAGGATGAGGTTAGGGAAGGGAGAACATTACAGAACACACTCCCAACATCGATATTTTCGAGATGTAGATGTAGTACAGGTGAACTACCAGGCAATCCTGGTGTTAAAAAAGCAGGTGATGCTGATGCAGTTTTCAATCAAATTGAACAACCAACAGGATCTTGTGTCCTAATGGCCTAATAAATAAAGCAAGCTGAATTTCGTGCTCTGGGTGCTGCCTTCACTGGCAGTAGCACCAGTCTGCCAGCAGGTCACAAGGGATTTGAATCCCCCTGCTATGGACTAAACTACCTGGGGAATAACACCTCTGGCAGTCAAAGGGAACATGACCCAGCAAACCACAGGTTTCAGCAGCAGAAGGTGCATTGCCCTGGCAGTGGAAAACCTCCAGGGAGCTCAAGGACTTCTCCCTTCCTTTTCAGATGTGCCCTGAGTCCCTTCAGGGCCTCCAGGCCAAAATTTCTCAACCTCTTTTTACCCAAGATCCATTGAATCTCTTTCAATGCAATGACCACTATCTGTGATGGGCTTCAGTGGGTTTAACTTATAACCAAACGCCTCCCAGAGCACAAAGAGCCACCAGCCTCAAAATCTGAGAGCACAGCTTTTCACACCATCATTCCCTCCCCTCCACTGGGTACATTTGAGCTCATCGTTCCCCAGGAGAACAACTTACAGGGAAAATGGTCCCCCTTAGACAAGTTCAGCAAAAGAGAAGTAAAAACTCCAGTAACTGAGAAACTAATTTCACCCACAAAGTTGGACTGTTCTATCAGACAAAAGCAGTCACTTGTCTCTTTTTACTTATTCTTACCAATGCTTCTGAATCAAGAAAACTGAGTAAAAATATATCCCAAAGTGCAGTTTGAAAACAACAATGTGCTGTGGCCAAGGGACAAAATAGCAGCCCACCTAGATCCTCCTGGGGTAGCAAAAGACTTTACATACTGGAACAACTGAGAAAAATACTGCCCTTATTTTTCTCATTAAAAAGTCAGAATATAAGTCTGGGATTTTGTCAATGATGTCGTGGATTTTTGTTGTACAAATGCACTACAAACTCAAACTGTTTCCTGTTTGGTTGTTTTTTTGGGTTTTTTTTCCAGAGTGACTGTGTCTGGAGGAACAGGCTTCCATTCCTGTAGAGCCCAAGTCAAATATTTTTCATCTTCTAGCTGCTTGGAGGAAATGCATGCCAATTAAAACAGAAGCAATTTGGATGAGCTAACTGCAGGCCTGCTGGGAAAACTATTCTTTGATTTCCCTAATCAGGAAAAGTCTCATCTTGGAAGCTTGTAAATATTTTCACAGTGTGTTAGAATGTAGATATCGTCACTATGTATTCTGACATCTGATTTCATTTGGACTTCTACTGGCAGAAAAATTAATAGCTGGGTAATGAACCAGATTTCACCAGATCAGAATCACAAGACTTGCCTTTCACAGTCCTTGAAAGTCTGGACAAATAATGGTTTCACAGTGAACCAGAAAAAAAGTAGGATATATTCATGATTTGTCTGTTTTCTTTTAACTGTCATCTAAGATCATGGTAACTCTGCTCTCAAAATCTGCTGATGGAGGAATTGCCTGCACTAGAGGATGAAAAGGAAATCACCCACAGTGAGGGCAGAGACCAGCAAATCCCAGGTACTATCACTCATTGTGCAACTGGGAAGGTATCACACTGAACTGGTTCTCCTTGAATTAAACTGAGGGAATTAGCAGTTCCCAGCCTTCTGCATGGAGCATTACTGTCCCACTTGGGTTTTGACTTGGCTGTAGATAAAATGCCAGCTGGTCCTTGGGACCTATAGAGAACCTCCAAGTAAGGGGGGGAAAAAGCACT